GGAGGCTTTGAATAAGGAATACTTTTGAAACTTGCTATTTCCCGATTATTATATGTTTTAGTATACAACCCTCTTACAATACCTTGATCTAGCGTAACTTCTGGTTGACTTGAAGATACGATCAAATTAAAATTACATACGAACATAAAGACAAATAAAAATAAATGAAAAACATATTTAATATCGATTAAATTATATGGATATTGTTACAAGAAATATTCATGAAATTCTTTCGTAACATTATTCAAATAAACTCCTTGAACTTAAACCAATGCTATAAAAAAAAATTAAAAAATATATTATATATCTTTGGTTGATAAGCACAATTGATAAGGCTTATCTGAAAAACAATACCTGCTCATTTCAAACCTTCATGGTCATTCAGTTAATGATTCATTCCTGAAGTTGTTTGATTTGATTATTTCGAGAATAAAACAAGTAATTCCGATAAATATATATTTTTTTTTGCTGCCTATCGAAAGTTGACTCTGAACGTTTGAGGAGCGTTTTGACGTTTCACCAACTATGGGACAAACAAATATATAAATAGTTATTTTATTGTGCTATTATTTTTTATATTTTCCATCAGCTGTTGATATCAAGAGAAATTAAATAAATAGTTTGGTCAAGCAATAATGTCGCTGTTAGTTAAGTTAAGGCAGAATTTCACTGAGGCAAAACTGAACGACATGTTGCGAGATAACGACTTGTTTCCTAGTGTTGCCTATTGTAGCCGTTTGACTATGTTTCACAAAGTTTTAATTAATGTCGCATGCGGAATTGGTTGCCGCATATCGCATGCGCTATGTCGTACATACGACTAAAGCGATTCCATTCAGGCAACTTCAGTTTGGTACATTATGTTGTTAATAATGGTTAGTGTTTCTTTATGAAACAAACACAGACGATGCAAAAACGTTTATTGTGGAAGAACACTACAAACATAGAAGACATATCGAGGGAGTATATATTGTTGTGATCACTGACCACATCTGACAGTGTTGCCAGTAACAGTGTTGTAGGTAGAATATACAACAACAAATAACATTAATTAATTAATCCTAACACATGTTATTATAAACATTCGCGGCATCTGCATATTTGGTATTCGTTTTGAATCATGAAAGGAAAAGAAAAAACACCACTATGTTGGAGAAGAGAGCTATTAATCAATGGTCAGGAAATATGGCGGCTGATTATAAGCTGTTGGTACTCAGTGCCACAAGCGGATCCAGGATTTAATTTTGGGGGGGGCTTCAGCCCGAAACCTTTTTTTTTTTCTCATAAAAATAACAATAATTACTTTGGAAAAACAGAAAGAAACTAACTACCTATATGAAATGGTGTTTATGTTATTCCTTAAGTACTTTTAAATGTAATTACACGAACAATAATGCTTTAAGAGGTATTTTTTAATTTTTTTTTTCCCATAACACATAGTTATATATTTCCATTTTGGAGGGGGGGGGGCTTCAGCCCGAAAGCCCCCCCCCCGTAGATCCGCCCGTGCTCAGTGGACGCAGAGCATAATGCTCAACAATTTTTATTCTATGAGTTTTTTCTCATAAGAAAGTAATTTCCAAGCTGCAGAGCTATTTTTAGTAATTTGGGCCCAGTTTTGACAAATATGATAAAAATCGGCGTTCGTTGACCGTGGTTAACGAACATACCACTCACTAGCGGATCAAGGATTTAATTTGGGGGGGGGGGAGGAGCTTCAGCCCGAAAGATTTTTTTTTTCATATACATATAACGATAATTAATTTGAAAAAAAAATAAAGAAATTAATTGCCTATATGAAATGGTGTTTAAATGGTTCTTGAAGTCCTATTAAATATAATTACAAGAACAAGAATACTTTAAGAGAAAGTTTTTAATATTTTTTTCTGAAAACATGGTCATATTTTACCATTTTGGGGGGGAGGGCTTGAGCCTGTGTTACCACTCAACCAAATTATTAAGTTTAGGTACTCGTTCGATGCACAATTTAACATTATTTAATTTATGAAAGAAAAGGTTTTTCTCTTTGTTGCAGCGTTTAGAAACTACAAGTGAAAAAAACAAAACAAAAAAGTAGAAATAATCTGGCTTTTTTAGCTATAAAAAGTTTTTCCTTGGTGGCCCGCGTCAGAAATTTTGTTTTTACATATCTCAGCCAATATATACAAGTTAATAAAATAAAAAATTTTCTCATATTTTCCACAATGAATTTCCCGTCATTAAATCAGTCGCCATTTTTACAGGGAGTAAGATTCAACTGGAAAACTCATTTTTTCAATAAAGATGTTATAAATATTCAAAAAATGCTTTTAAAATTTTCATCAAATAATTTAGATTTTTTCTCATGGGCTCTCAGACTATTTGGGTTGCTAGCAAGTGTATTTCGTTTCATCACTGATCTGCATCATCGTGTCACCTAAACACTCAGCAATTGACAATACTGATTTTAGTCAATCAACGTCCAATGAAAAATTCAATAGCACATAATCAAACCATTTCCCAATTTTGTTAGTACATGAGTCATTCTTTTCTTGCTGAACTTTTTTGGGCTTGCGATGAAATGCTGACAAATTCTTAATTAATTTTTATCTATATCACCGTACAATTATATTTTCCTATTTAAATAAATAAACCAATTATTTTTACCTACATCGCCGTACAATAATTATATTTATTCGATAATTTTTTCAATTTATCGTTTTTAATTCTTATATTCCGACTGCTCCAACACTTACTAGACAAACGCTCTAAACTTTCAATTAATTACAAAAGACTCATCTACTTAATCATTCTTAAGATCTATATGGACATACGGAGTTGAGCTTTGGGGTTCTACCAAACCATCGAATTCCTATCTTATCCAATCCTTACAATCCAAAATTTTTCGTAAAATCCTTAATGCCCCATATCTTGTCACAAATAAAACCATTCATAAAGACCTTAACGTTCCATAAGCCACTGATTTAGCTAGTGTTGCCCAAATGCGAGACCGAGACGAGTCTTGGTCTTGCAAACTAAGTCTTGGTCATGGTCTTGGTCTTGCGCAAGAGTCTCGCAACAATCTTGCTGTTACTTATTAGCTTAATACTATAGAGATATTACTGTATTTTTTTAGATACGAAAAACTCAACTAAGCCCGAATGAAAAATAGAGGAGTTAAATGCAAAAGTATATTAGTTATACCAATTATTAACATATAGTAACTAAGATTGTCAAGTATTAGTAAATATTTTGCCTTAATTTTTATTCAAAAGGTCGATTTTTTTTACCAGTCCTGATCTTGGTCTTGCAACAGTTAGGCGGCCTTAGTCTTGGTCTTGCAAAGTGCAAGACCAAGACCGATTTTGGGCAACACTAGATTTAGCCCGAGCCAAATACCTATCCTTTCATGATAAATGCCAGTCCCATCCGAATCCACTTGTTTCCAGCCTTGCTTCTTCCTCGATTCCTGATAATCCCTCTAGGCGTCTGAAAAGAAGATGGCCTCTTCTCACCTAAAATTAAATCGGTGTGCTACCAGTGGGCGGTATCTCTTCAAGTCTGTTTATGTCATTATTTATTAAGGTGTGTGCATTTTTACTAGATGTATTGTTTATACAGTCGTAAATTTCATTAAATAAAGTTTAAAAACTCGTATACTTTGTATTTAGCGATTTTATTATTCTGTAACTCCTTAAACAAGACGGGACGGGTTTTAATGATTTCATTGCCAACATCAAGTCATACATATGCAACTAAAATCACATAGTTAAATTAAGTATATAAACGAGACGTTATAGCAACTTTTTCTTCAAATTTACTGACTTATCAAAATCAACAGAAATATTACTTAACTTCATCGCATTATATATTTTTACAATTTAATTACAAATTACAAAGCGCTCTATCGATTTTAAGTATACTATTTTTGTAGATGTAAAATAGTGATATGAGGTAGGTATTAGCCTCATTGAGTTAGTCTGATAATACATATATGAAGAGTTTTCAAAATTTCTTCTTCAAAGGTACCTTTAATTTTTTTTTTCAATTAATTAACCATCCATCATTTTCAGAATTACAAAAGTGGATAAATACAAAAAATGAAGTGATTTGATAATTAACTAATGCAGAAAAAAAAAAAAATGTTGCAGACTAAAGGTGCCCATGCTGCAAATGAAAATAAAGTTATAAATATTATAGTCCAGCCGTTATCCTTGTTCCTTGATTCTGTCCAATTGAAACCTCATGACAATATGGTTCTCTTAAAAGATTAAAAATCCCGTAAAATATGTACTCCCCTCAAAAATAGATTATCCCATAAAAATGTACCCTCCCTCAGAAATTTTGATGGCTCAACCTGTGCCATGCAACCCTCTTCTGGGTACCTGTTGCAGACAAATATGGAAAAATAAAATAGATTGTTAAAACATATCATTTTTATATAAACATGATTGTCAAGATGAGAATTTACAATCGTCTTCATATACATAAGGATGCGGAAGGGGTACTGCTTTTCCTCATTTCATTTAAGCATCTTTTTGTTTATTTTATTTTTTCTCTCATCTCATTATTTTGCCAGCTTATCTGCTGATTATAAATATATGTAATTAATAGGTGAGGACTGAAAAATAAAAAGCTAAGCGTTATTGCTTAACTCAGTGCCGGCCCCCGGGCAATGACGTCACCTCTCGTCTCTTCTAAAAGATTTAATTTATTTCTTGAGCAGTTTTATAATATGTAATATTTGAATTTTTTATTCAATATTTCTCTAATACAGTTGCTTTATCGATAGGATAAAATTAATTGTTTTAAGATGTTTTGTATTTTTTTTTATATATAATTTATAACAAGTGGCGAGTGCCTCTAAAGATAAAGCCAGAGCTCCCAACAGTTGCCTCTCCAGGCCACTGGTTTAATTATTAAAATGAAGGCTATTGAGGTTTTAAACAAATACTTTATATTTATACAAAATAAATAAAGTTTATTTTTAAAAAAATATTCATTACATTTAATATCTCATTTTAAAATTCATCATGATTATAAGCTGGTAATTTCAGGTTTTCATTAAAGCCTAAGGAGTCCCAGAAAGTTTCTTCTCCTAATTCATCAACTGTATCCAGCTGAAAATCATTCGGACCTTTGATATCTGTGAAGACAATCTTTGGTAGCTGCACGTTCACAGCTTCCCAATTTCCTCCTAATAATCTGTAAGTATTGAAAAATTGTCAGTTTACAAGTTATATTGGTTAAAATAAGCTAAATAAATTCACAAGTTCAATCAGAAGAACTAAAATTAATTCAATAATATTTCATTTTACCCATTTCTTATAAAAGTTACAAATACGTCAAGTAATTGTTCAGAGATTTCTATATCAGATTCAGTCTCTAAAAGCCTAACATTCGAAAACCCTAAGGTGTAAAAGATGTCATCACCATGATTAACACCTGAAAAAGAAAGTCAAAATTTATTAATTTTGTTTGGCATTTTTAAGTAGTACCTACATAAAATAAGTGTTTACATACAGATGAAAATAGGATTCATTACCTAAAATTAGAATATACCACCAATTTACGGAGTATAATAATGAATTACATCCAGAATCCTTTTAAAGTTGGACTTTTAAGCCAACTTTAAAATAAATTAAATTGCGCTTTTTAAAGTAAAATATGACATAAAAGTGAAGATAAGAATCTATAATAGATCATAAGTTGCTCATTATAAAATTAAAATGCAGCACGATTATTTACGTCTAAATTAATTTATTTCCATTGACATTCTTAGAGATATAAAGAAAAAAAAACTCATGAAGAGATAGGAAACAGATGTTACATAATGTTTGAAAAATCCAACCACTTAGCTTTGTATCTCTAAAACACAGGTAAACAACAAAGTAACCGGTCAACCTCTTGTCAATTTAGTTATCGTCAGGACAGAAAAAAAAGAAGCCAAGATCACATAATTCCATTAAATTCAAATATATACTGCTACACATATGTATATAGCTGTATGAATGCATGACTTGGAGTGACGTAATATTGCTTTTGTTTTTTTTTAAAAGAAGTCTAAATTTGTGAAACATTGAAAGTTTATTTTGTTCTTTACATGGAATTTAGAGACAAAAGACTGTATGGGTAGTTTTCCCTATTATAGCCTAAAGTACAATTTTTTTTTGCAATACTGAAGTATATATAATACAATATGATTTGGGAAGATGAACCATTAAGCAGTGGTGCACCTAGACTATTTGAGACAAATGGGGAATTATTTTTGATGGGCCATAAAAAAATAATTTTACAAGTCACTTTAACCCCTACAATAAGTGAGGGGTGATTTAATCGAATTATAATCATAAATATGTGATCATTAACATTATTCTCTGTACTTTAATTTTGGTTTATCAAGCTGAAAATAAATTTCAAAGTATTACATTTAATTTTTATAAAAATTCCATTTAGTTTTTCATAGATAAATTTATTTCCTATTGAATAATATAAAAGTAGACATTATTAATTTCTATCTATTTCCTTCTATAACTTCATATCTTAGATATTAATTATTCTAAAATCTTCAGCTTATTATAGGGTAAAGGCACTTATTATTGACATATTACCAATTATTAACACTTGTAACTTAAATTTGATAAAATGAGCGTTTTAATTCATGCAGGATTTCAAAGTTGGCACCCTTTCAAAGGCATAATAATCAGTCTTTGAAATGGCTTCAAGTTTACCCTATCTCTATATTACTTTTCTTATTTCTGTTAATTTGTTTTTAACCTGTGAAAATATTTCTCCTTTAGTTCATGACAAAATTATGTTCTAATATACAAAATTAAAAATATCTTTAAGGAAGAAATTTTGACAACTTGGCATTTAAGACCCATCAGTCTATTTCAATGAGGATATGATGTAAATTATAATAAAACTCATTTAATTTTGCATCAATATTATATGTTAATCCAAATAGTTAATGCTGTTTTTAAGAACATAAATTTTTCAAAAGACATTTCATTGTTATACTTTTTTTTTGTTTTTGAGATATGCTGTTCACATATATACACATGTGAACATAAACTATTACATGAACATGAACTATTCCAGAAAACAATTCAATTAAATAAAAAATATATATTCTTCAATACTATGGTTTTTAATAAATTGTTATTCTTTAATCAAAGTGTATCAATAGGATTAATTAAATACATCCAAAAGAAAAATTTACCCCTAAAATAAAAGTTCTTGCCCGATTAAAGAAACTTTTTTGTAATTTTGTTTCAATCAATTATCGTTAATTTAAAAAAAAAAACCTGTTGTAAGTCCATGAAGCACAATAGTTTTGAAAAAAAGAATAATAGTTTTGGGACAACCCACTTGACTCCTGTCTAGGTACACCACTGCTATAATGAAGCTCCTGTGAAATAATGCTTGAACTCATGTTATATTTTATTAAAATTCAGATAGTAAAAGTTAGTATTAATGAAATATAAAACAGTTTAAATAACCATGCTGGAATTGGATTGTTTTCCTTAAATAAATAATTATTCGAAAAAGCCCTTTAATACAGAATTTCAATTTTTCTGTACAATTAATAATAATAACAGTTAGTATTGGTAGTAGTAATAATAATAAATTATAAATATCATACCTAAGTCTTCTTTAATGTTTAAAAATTCAAGACTTGAATGCTTTCCTCTGTAAGAAAATTTGTATATGTAAACTGGTGAAATTTGTGTGGAAGCTAGCAGTTTTGACATTTTGCTGATACCTGCATAAAATAAACGATCTCCGATCATCTACAACAAAATTAACTTTATATTAATAAATTAATTCATGTAAAATATTCATAGTAAAAATAGAACCAAATAGCGCTGGATTACCACTATCCTTATGAGATTCTTAGTTTAATAGAAAATGAAAGTTATTCTACAAATTTTAAATATATTGTAATTTCAAACAATCAAGAATTAATAATAAAATTCATGTCACTAACCCTAATAAGATTTTTACGTCCTTGAGGAGAATCATCAACTTTATAATATTTCTTAATCTGTTGCCCGATTTCTGACCTCTTCTCATGTGGTACAGTGTAATTGTAATCTAAAATATGAGGCATCACCTCATCCCAGCGATCTAGCATTTCAGTATAGTGACCAGGTTTAGTTAAAATATCTAAAATTAAAATAAATATATTGATAAGATTGTCAATTATTTGTGTTAAATAATTAATTTAAAAAAAAAATAGTTCATATTGCTTTATTTCAGGTTTCTTATTTGAAAATTTGTTGATCATTATTATATCGTTATTTCGATCTAAGTCAAAATAATTTGATATGGCAGAAGAAGTGCATTTTTGGAGTATCAATGATGATGATAATACTATTTTATAAAATAAAAGTAATTCTTTTTTTTTTTTTTTTTTGGAATTGCTAACTACAAAACCATTGGACCGATTTAAACATTTTCTTTTTTCGTAATGATCTATTTTGTGCTAATATGGTTTAAAACTAATGAAATACTTAATGAAACCAGAAGAAATACAGTTGAAAATATTTTCAACCAATTACGTAGTTAAACTTAATAATATAAGATGATAAATAGTCAGGAATTTTCAATCGAAAGGGGTTTATTCTGTGATGGTGGAGAAATAGTTGACGGTAAATTCTTATATTGTGCATTAGTTAGGATAACAGTCATTGAAGTACACAAAAAATTAGTATTTTCTTTAATGAAGAGAAAAATAGTTGGGGTGATCAGTCAAAAAAGAAGGCAAAAATAAATATTATCATTCATTTTTGCCTTCTTTTTTGACTGACCACCCCAACTATTCTTCTCTTCATTATTCACGAAAGTCAACCATTTACCAATTATTATATTATTTTCTTTGTGCATATGTTTTGGCCTAAATTTTAAGTCTTAGTGATTAAGCAGAGGCAATATAACAAATTGATAATGATAAAAAACAGAAAGAGACCTTATAAAAAACAAAAAGATACAAATTATAAAGAAAAGTAGTGATAAAATAAACAATGAAAAAATAATGTTAACTATTAGATAATTTTCAGAACAGAAACAAAAATACATTTCTAAACATGACAAATGCAAATAGGCGGCAATTAAGAAGATGTCTGCCTAGTCTCTGGGAAATGCTGAACATGAGAAAAATGTTGAATAAAACACCTGATGTTCAGATCATAGCCACACTGAAAGGTGGAATACTCCGTATAAACGATAAAATCGTTCAACAGAAGGAACTTACTATTAAGTATTTTTTTTTTTATGTTACTGATCTTTTTATTTTCTAAATAAATTTTTTGATGTTATCAATTAATCGGATGTATTTAGTCATATTAATGAAAAAGGCATGCATAGGGCAAGTTCCTTCATTCAATGCTCAGTCTATCAATGGCATCGTTTCACCCAGTTTAGAAACCGATACGATGACAAATATTAGCTCAGCACTGAGTTAGAAACATGCATATAGCTCATGTTTAGTAAATTATATAAATATATCTTCACCTGCTCCTCCACATAATCCTTCATCTTTGACAAAAGAAAAAATAATCGGGACATCGGAACCAACTTTTTCTTTTATAATGTTCTCTGGTAAATCAGAAATGAAAGCACTTTCACTTGGTGGCTCAATGACAGGAGCAAAAACTACAAGTGGAAAAATATCTTTCCAATACTGAAAAAAAAAAAAAAATTATAATAATGAAATCTATCTATGTCTAAATCTAGAGTAATAGATCCCTACCGAAAATTTCTGTAATGAAACCATATGTTCAGCTGGTCTGTTTCTCAAGCAGTTAATCATAATTTGTGAATCATTTACGGGACAGCCAAGATCAGTCGCAATCATCATTGCTTTTTCCTTTGGATTTTCTGCAACTGCCCAAGGATTCAAAGCTGCTCCACTCATACAAATAGCTCTATGGAATAAACCTAGAAAATAGTCATATGATATTAAATGATAACATTTGGAATTATAAAGAGTTGACTTATTGTGAATACCTTTGCTAAGTGGAGAAAGTATGTGGTAGTTACAACTTGCTCCTCCTGATGATAGCCCACCAAGTGTCACGCTATCTGGATTGCCACCAAATGCTGCTATGTTCTTTTGTATCCATTTCAAAGCAAGAACTTGATCTTTTAAACCATTATTTCCTGGGACAACGTTATCCTCGGTGCTAAGGAATCCTGTAAACCAAATGAAGTATTACATTTAACAAGATGTTATTTAAGAAAATTACAATTATAAACAAACTTGTGATAAAATAATTTTTAAGACTCTTCTTAATATTACAAAAATTGATGAATTCTTCTTCAAGAAAAACCAGATATCGTGAACCTTGTTATTACAATATTTGGCATATAAAAGGGTTTGTTTCATTTTGGTGTGCTTAATAAGATTTTTGGTGTACTTATTCATAAATAAGGTTCAAAATACACAAAAACGTACTTAAAAATCTAATTCCACCAAAAATGCACTCAGCGACTTTTTGAGTAAACTAAAAATATATTTGTTTACAATAAAGGGCCTGAAAAAAAAATTTAACCTTTATTTTTAGTCAGTTTCGATATGACTGAAATCTTATTTTCAATATATTTTTTTCTATTTTATCTATATTTTTCTTTTATTCAAAAACTTTTCCCATGTAATTTTTTGCGTAGAGGTTTCACAGAATTTTTATATAAAAGTTCTGCTGAAGCAACTCATTTCGCCCAAAAACATAATTTAAAAATAGTTACTGTGTAGTAAATTTTAATTACTAAATCAAAGAAAATATAAGAATCAGGTAACTCTTTTGAGATATTTTAATATAATGTAAGCCCTATTACCGTTTATTAAAAAAATCTCTTTGGAACAATTATTTTAAAAACATTTTTACAAAAGTTTTACTGAAGCAGTTATAATGCAATTTTTTAAAGAAGTTCCATAAAGTTTCAACCTCTGAATAATATCAAATTCACATAAACAGATCGGAAAGAATAAGCGATAATACTTGATCGTAAATGTTATATTTACTGAGGATAATTTAAAAAATATTTTATATTAAATTACTTACCTAAAGGACCAAGCCTGTAGTTAAACGTCACTAAAACAACATCCTTTTGAAGAATTACTGGGGGTCCATAAAATCCTGATTTGCCCATAGAGAAAGCTCCACCATGAATAAAAGCTACTACATCAAGAAGTTCTGGAGTTTCACCTTCTGGAAGCTACGGTAGCATTAAACAAATATATTTATATGTTAACTAGCTAAAATAATAATGGGAACACATTAGACATATGTCATCAATAAAAATATCAATATCAATAAAAATATACAGTATATTTAAGAAAATATCGACAGTCACACTGCAAAAGTATATAAATAAAATTTTATTAAAAGTATAGTTTTGAGCTTTTCTAGCCAACCTTCGCCTCGCACATATTCACAAATATAAACCAAAATTTCAATAATAATATCATTATCTTGAGTATGTAGTAAAAATTTAATGAAAAATATAGTTCGCAATATAGTCTATTTCATTTTATAAATAGTTTTAGATTTTACACTTAAATGCTTTTGCATTGTTTCTGTATCTTTATGATGCAGAACTTATAAAAACTATTCAATCTATGTTATAAAGCAAGGAGGTTAAGATAGGCAGGGTATGTAGATCTATATAATCCATAAGGAAGCCTACACACAACAATGAATGTCACAGCCTAATACACTGCGGCTTTTTTTGGTCCTCCCTTTAAGGCTATACAGGATTTACCCGGGCCAGGGAGTGAGGGTGAAAAGACTCCGTTGGCACCAGAAAGCGAATACCTGACTATTTAGGACACACACGTTACCCCATTCGGCCAGCCAGCCCTCAGTTTCACTATACTCTGTAGCTGATTCTAGTCAGACAGCTTTGCCAAAAAAATTATCAGTTGAAAAAAGAATGGTTCCTCTGCTTCAGAACCAAATTTCCTATACTAAAAAATTCTCTCATACCAAATATCTATCTATATTTTTCTGGTAGATATGGAATACTTTTTTTTTTTTCTAGATTCCCTCTTTCTCTACTTGTATTTTGAGATTTTGATCCTTATTGTTCATTTTAAATTAATTTGTTGGATCATAGTCTCTCCTTTCCTTTCACACTTAACGTTAAAATATCTAAAAATCTTGGTGAGTCTTCCATATCTAGACAATAAACTTTGAGAAAGCATCTATACTTCTTCATCTACAAGAATTGGACTATTTGATGTTCTATATTACAATATATGTTCTATATTACAAATAGCCCCAGTTGGTGGAACATTTGTCTAATACATGAGCTGAGGTTTCTTATTTTCAACCACATTTGTGGCAGAGAGCTCTAACACCTCTATGTGTCAAGCCTTCGGTCCCTGGAATTCCATGGAGAGGAGCATAGTTGACATTCAGTTTCAAAACATTCATCCATTCTAAGCCCTAAGAACTTTCCTATATAATTTATTAGTCCTTTGGTAAGACTTTAAATGGGATATAGCTATTCTTTGCCACTTATATTTGCTTCAATTCTCAAATGACTTTTCTCTCAGGAACTGCCTAACTTTCTTGACTGATAGTGCTGCCATGGTACATAAATCTTAGCCGAGCAAGATTTCAGATTCAGGGCGACTCGAATTAACTAGCTATATATTTGTATGTTTACTGAATAAAATAATAATAATAACATATTTCTTCAAACAATGACAAATTTCAGCATATTATAAGTGATCACTGGCAATCTTAAACCATAGAGATTGCTATTTGAGAAGATGTGAGGTCAATATTAAAAATACCAGCCTGATATTTTAATAATAACCATTATTAACTTAATTTCAAGTTTTAATTCCTATGGAGTAGCACATGTAGAGGTTTCCAAAACAGTGTTTCATGGCACAAGTTGTGCCATCAAAATTTTTGAGGAGGCACATTTAGACAGGGTTTTGAATTTTTGAGGGGAACATATTTCGATGGAATATGAATAAAATTTTCAAAATGAAAATTTTTAAATCAAAAGACAAGTATAATGATAGAACAGACTGTAGGGTGTGTAATTGTATATAATTTACAAATGTTTAAATTCTATTTTTTTTTTGCACTAGTTTTAAGAAGAGGAGACCAATAAAATATCTTGGGAAGGTTCATGAGCCTTGGGAGGGGGAGAAGGTGGGCACCCATGGGCGTATGAGCTTACAATTTTAAACTTCACTTTAAGGATATAGACTTATATTCAGAATATTATTGTAATTATTTGTATTTTAATATAAATTTATAAATATAAATAAACACACTATTTTCAGGACATTTATGTAATACACTGGTATAATAAAATGAAATATATAATTTTGTTTTGTTTAATGTATATCAAAACTCATATAATTATCTGCCAAAATTAAGACATATTTTGTTCTCTATCTTATCTTTAGAGTCTTCAATCATAAAAATAGTTTTTAACTTGGAAAAATTTCTATTTGTTGTCTGTCTAAATAGTTTTTAAATTGTAAAATAATAATGACTCCATACCTTTGGTGTATATACATTGAGAAAGAGGCAATCTTCTGATCCCTGGATGGTTTTTGTTACAAACAATTCTAGTTGCAAGCAAGATGGAGGCTCTCTTGTTGCATTGTATATACCTATCCAAGGGTCTGCAGGGATGGATTGCTGTAACAAATCAAAATACATATTTTATGTCAATTTTAAATCAACTTTGTAGTGTTAGTTACTTTATTATATATGATTATTTCAAATATTTTATAATTAAAAATCATTACCTTGAATCTGTGCTTTCCTATAGGTGGCTTTGCATAAGGGATGCCTTCAAAACTTGCTATTTGGCGATTGCTGAATGTTTTCGTATATAACCCTCTAACAATGCCTTGCTCTACAATAACTTCTGGTTGACTTACAGATTTTATTAAATAAAAATTACTAATAAATATAAAGGCATATAAAACTAAGCGAAAGAACATCTTTACTATTTGTTGTACATAGGTTTAATTAGTGAATATATAAAAATGTATATAAATATTTTAAGAGAAATAAGTATTACAAAATTTTAATATTCATTTAAATAGTTTTTATTAAGATCTAAATTGATAAACCAGAATTCTATTTATAAAAAATCACTAAACAACTTGTGTTAGGATGTGTTTGGTTGATAATGAAAGCTGATGTGGTTTCTCTGAAGGCAACTCGAAGTCAAGAATAATACCTCCCTCCCCTCCATGTTTCTAGCCAAGGTCATCCAAAGTAAAATTCATTTCAAAGTTATTTAGATAAGATAAATAAATTTAATCTAGAGTACATCTTTAATATATTTTTCATTTTCTAATAATATCATATTAGTTTCAATAACAATTTATTCAAAATAATCTTAAACAACAAGAAATTTTTTTTACAAAAGGCATTAAACTCTTAAGCACAATGGATTTTATATTGTTTATTCTTGAATAAAATAGGTTTGTTTATATGAAAGTGTAATGATTTGTATATATTTTTTTAAAAATGTAAGAGTCGATATTTTTAAGAAACGAGTCATTGTAAACCTTTTGCCTATTTTATCATGAAGATTGATAATTGAAGAAGTTAATGATATTTCTAGCTTTTACCTACTATAATTTAAACGATACAATCATCATCCGTTCTAAATAAAGTTAAATTAGTTAGTTGTTAATTCCTCAGTGGTAATGTAGATTTTGTAGTACTAAGAAACATTTTTGCTATGGCTAAAAACTTAACATGGAAGTACTTTTTGAAAAAAAAAAAAGCAACAAGAATATAGAAAACAACTATGAATATTTTCTATAATTTGGTTCAGTAACAAATACATTTATAATCATGCTAACATTTCAAGATTGTTCTTTTTATTTAAAATAGAATAATTGATAGATAAATATCAGAAGCTTAAACAAAAAAACATTAAAAGAAAAAAATATGTTTTCAATTAAACAAACATTCTTTTCTGAAAACAATATAACATATTATGTATTGTTTTTATAATAAAATTATCATTTAATTTAGATAAAATAACTTAAAAACTAAAACTAAACCCCTCTTGTTGGTCCCAATTAGGAAAGATGCTATTAAAAGTTACAATAACTTTTAATATATATATATATATATATATATATATATATATATATATATATATATATATATAATAAAAAAATCATAAATATGAAAAGAGTAAAAGATGAAATCATATATTTATTGAGAATTTTTAAAATATGTTTGTGGCTAAATATTTTATCATTATTATGGATTGTTATTATTTACTTGCATATTATTATACTTTTGATGGCATATTATATTGCATTTTGTCCTACTTTTTTAACCGTAGAACGACACATTGGGGTGTGACTCACCCCACAACATTTTAAATATTGGTTTACTTTTTTATAATTAGCTCTTTGGCCAAGTTTTTTCATACATAGCCAGACTAATGATCATTAGTGCACCATTGTTGGGCTTATTTTGTTATTGGGAGTTGTCTAAAGTCATTATGCAGTATTCCATACATCAATGTGTTGTTTATGTTACTCTCCTGGGGACCTCACATTTTATTACAAACACAGTTTGCCAAAAGTTGTTAGCACAAAATATCTATAAAAGAAGAGGATTGATGTAGGCAGCTATTTTTCCTTGGATAATGGAAATACATTCTACAAGTTGAGCCTGAAAACAATGATCTCCAGTAATTATGGATGGTAGGAAATGAAAAGTTTAGCTGCCAATCTCGGCAGTATGGAAGCCTTCATGAAGGAAGTCTTGGACCTGCAATCTTATCGCCCTGAAGAAAGTGTCAGCAACATCATTGAAATAGAGAGAACATTTTCAAAATTAAACTGGATAGTGGACTGTCTGAGCAATTACCGGGACAAAAGTAGATTCAAAGGATTTAATTTTTTTTTTTTTTCAAAACTGTATGTACATAATTAGAAAAAAGATATTTAATATTGAGAATGTTTTTGTTCATTATAATAGAAAAATCTCTATATATTTCCAATTCAATGCCATCACTGCAGTTCTTTAGAATGTTGCTGATTTATTCTGTTTGAAGTTCTCTGACACAGGGGTGCCCAGAAGGGGTTTTCATGGTGAAATTCGCGCATTCTAAATTTTTGAGGGGGGCACTTTTTGAATTTTTAAGGGGGCACATTTCAACAGGATAATAAATTTTTGGAATAAAAAGTTTTAAACCAGGGGACAAGAGGAAAGGATAGAGCAGATGACTGAAAGTGTAATTGTGTAAGAGCTATAATTTTTAAATCCTACTTTAGCTGCATTATTTATATGAAGAGGAGATCAATATAATATCTTGGGAGGAAGGAGGAGGTACAGGCCATCGATCTTGGGAGAGAATGGGCACCCCTGCTCTCACAAATTTATTAAAAAGGAACTGAAGGTCATTTATTTCAAACATATTTCATAAAGATAACATGAAAGCGCTGGATCATTTAATCAATTTCTTCTTGTTTCATTAAACTATTAAATTATTATGGAATATTAAGGAGTTGACATATGTTTGTAAAGTTTATAACTTTCAGAAACTGTATAGATATAACTTACTCTCTGTATAGATATAATTTTTCCAACTAGAAATATCTCTAAAATGACATTACTCAAAAATGTTGATGTTGGAGTAAGTCATTCTGTCAACTGAGAGCCTCAAAGATTGAAGTTATGTGGTTTATAAAAACAGATGGTGTAAGTACATTTTTATTGCCTACCATCGATATAATTGTAATTTTAATGGTCTTAACGATTTGTCATCTGTAAGCTTTAAGCTTTAGCTCCGTTTAAAATGCACTTCAAAAGTTTTATAATAGCCCAACATTGCCAGAAAATAATTTCTGTTCAAAGTAACGGTAAGTGAAAGTTGTGTGTTGTCCGCACCAGATTTTTTAATATAACTACCATAATAATTACTTTTTGGTTTACATTTTGCAGTGACTAGTGACTAGTTAAGTAATACCATTATGTCGAAATAGGACTTATATTGCTATGTCTTAAGGCAGAAAATCTTAAACAGTTATATATTTAATAAAAAAAAAAGAACTTTTGGATCTAAATCAGCGCTGGTTATTGGTAGTGGACCAGATTGAAATAGGAGTTGTGAGATTGTCAGAAATCGTAGGAATCGGTGTGAATAACTTATCTGGTATGAGTTGTCCAAACTGAATTAGTAAGACCAAATACGTTGTAGCCGAAGCAATCATCTGTAAATAAAGAACGAAAATCAGATTTAATAATGACGTGGTGCGGATTTGATTTGGGTAGCAAGATTAGCAGGTGTCTAGGTACATAGTTCATAATTAGAAATCAAATTAAAGAATTCAACAGCCAAATAAAATACAACTTTTTTTACTAACTAATATACAAGTATAGGGCTCACCGAATGAACCAGTTTAAAGTCCAACTGGAACAAACCACAAGCTGAGAACACTACCTCTCGTTTCATTGTGAAATGAAGTCTCAACTTTTCCTGTTGTGGAAAAAAAAGATAAGCATCTTATTTTAAAATATTGATTTTGACAATTGTCAAAATACTCAAAAGAAAAATATAATTTATCCGTGTTTTATTGGATTTGTAGAATTAAAGAATGTATTATCATTTATAGTTTTTTTACTTTCCTACCTATACTATGTAATACTATGTAAGGAAGGTATTGCGATCGGCTCAAGTTTCCAATATGCAGTTTTCGACGGATCTATACGTTTCAAAGCCCCCTGAGTCCGAAAATCACATTTTTAGCTATTGGTCTGTCTGCCTGTCCGTTTAGCGTGTTTTTCGAAAAGTGATGAAATTGCCTTCAAAACTATTTAAAAATAGTTCTTTTCGGACAAAGAACTCTAACTATTCCATCGCTTCCGCCATCTCCTACCTCAACATACGCTTAGACTCCTAGTTTCCTCTCTCATTTTCCCCCACTTTGACTATAGCTGTGTGATGTATGATGGCCTCTCTGTGGAGCTCCGCGATAGACCGAAAAGACTAATGAACAGCTGCGTAAGATTTGTGATCGGGGCTCCAAGATACTCCCATGTTTCTCACCACTACGCTGAATTAAAGTGGCTTTTCCTCTCCTTCCGAAGACAATATTTTCTAGGTACGTTCCTCTACCAAATCATCAACAACCATCGTCCTTCTTACGCCTACAACCTTCTCCAGTTTAAATCCTCAGTCCATACCTTCTAACCTTTACACGCCTTCTCACAGATTGTTCGCTCTGTCAATTTCTGGAATTCCCTCCTTATCAAAATTCAACATTCCCCATCCATTTCCACATTCAAAACTCTACTATTCCAATTCCTATCCCAAAAACAGTCATATAGTTGCTAACCATTCGAGCTGATTTTAATAGAGAATTTGATACATTTTTATTTTTTAATTCTTTATTATTTTCTTAAAAGTGTATACTAGTCTATCAGTGCAAATAGCTTTAAGTGCCTTGTCATAGTATTAATTGTTTTGTATATAGTTTCGTTTGTTTTGTATATAGAATCTTTACCTTATATTTTTTTTACATTATTTCTTTTTTTCGATTGATTTTATTTTGGCCAGATGTGATCTTTTAATTTTGAACTATTTTGTAATTCTCAAGGGACTGTGTCCCAAAATAAAATTATTGTTCTATCTATCTATCTAAAAACAGAAAAAAATATATTCTCTTCTACAACATTTTATGTATGAGTTGCAGTGACGCCATTGTTTATTTGGATTAGCGATATGACCTAATAGATTAGTATTGTCAAAAAAATTATGTTTGGGAAAGTTCCTAGACTCATCGATGGCATCGTCTCGCTGAGTTTAGAAACGAACCTGTTATTATCGATGGGTTAAGGAACTTTCCCTTTATTTCAAGGTACTTACATTATGTAGAATTTGGTTAGTTTTATCTTCCATCATGAGTCGATATAGAAGAGAGTTGAAATCATCTGCCTAAAAAGAGAATTTTAAATGAATAAA